CTCAAGGTCTACATCAGAGGCTAAATATTGTGCATTAACATCCTTAACCTATGAATTACAATGGCTCCAGTACATGTTTTAAGATCTTCGTGTTGATATTTCTACTCCTTATACAACTTTTTGTGATAATAATCCAGCCATAAAAATAACTAAAAATTCTAGTTTTCATGAGAGAACCAAACATGTTAAAATTGATTGTCACCTCATAAGACAAAAGCTTATGGATGACCTCATACACCTTCTGCATGTTCTTCTCCTTATCAACTGGCTTATGTTTTTACCAAATCATTACACTTTGCTTTTTCTAGGTTGTTATTTCCAAGCTTGATTTTTTTAATCCATATGCCTAGCTTAAGAGGGGTGATAGAGATATGTCACATATCTTTTTCAGTTTTTCTATTTTCTATTATATCAATTTTTCTGTTGATTTTGTTTTTTAGTTTGACTTTTTCTGACGGTTTGAATATAGGGATGGTAATTAAACTCATACCCGTGGGGACCGATCCATCTCCGCCCCGAGTTTGATGGAGAAAACCCAAGTTGACCGGGGGCGGGTTTGGGTTTTCCCTGCTTTAAAAAGTCGGGGGCGGGGCGGGATGGGTAATGCAATCCCCACTTCGACCCCGTCCCCGTCCCCGTCTCGACTTTATATTTAAATTTAAAATATTAATATTTTAAAAGTATTTCCTTTTCTCGTTTCTATTACATATAATGTCATTTTTTTATATTTCACCATTTTTATTTTTCTTCTACCCACTTTTTAATTTTTTAATCTTTTATATTAATTAATTTATTACATTATTCTCTCTTACTTTTCTGTTTTTCACATTTTCTTAATCTCTCCCATAATTTTTTTTTAATCTTTTCAACCAATTTAACGAACATAAAGTTAATTTTTTTTCTTCTTTATCTTTTTTTAAATATTTTACATAAATCTTAGTAATAACTAATATTATTTTATTTATAATTTATATTTATTAGGTTTTATTATGTCATGCTTTTTTATCTTATTATTCTTATTTATCATATATCAAATTTTATCTTAATAAAATAATTATATTTTAAAATATTAAAAGGAATTGATAATTTAAACTTTTATTACTTCAAACTAATTAAATAAAAATTAACTTATTAAATATTTTCTTATAAATTATATATTTCATATTTTTAAATGACAACTTAAAAATGAATTAACTTATATATGTAATCAAATATTTAAATACAGTGTTATAATAATAATAATAATAATAATAATAATAATAATAATAATAATAATATTATTATTATTATTATTATTATTATTATTATTATAAGTATTCAAATATTTGAATACAATGTTATAATAATAATAATAATAATAATAATAATAATAATAATAATAATAATAATAATAATAATAATAATAATAATAATAATGTTATAAATATTCTATATATATATAAATGATTAAATATTTTTTTACATATATATTTTAATATAAATATAATAAATTAAAAAATATATATTTAATTAATAATAATTATAAAATTATAAATATTTATTTATATATAAAAAATACATAGTAAAATTAATTTATTATAAATATAATTATCTTTTTAAAAATAATAGAAATCGTGTATTCAATACGCTTACAGGTTGTGTGAGTTCTACCGGGTTACAATATTTTACTTCTCACATTTTCATTCCTATCTAATGGACTCACATTCTAGAGCAAAACATTTATACCTATTTTTATAATAATACCTAGTAGTAATTAATATTTATTATACTAGTTTACTTTCATTATTATTTTCAGATTTTATTAACATTATTAATGTTTTTCTTACTACAACTCTAACTAATTAATTTAATATTTAATACTTAACCTTTGTTGATCATATATTTATGTTAAAAGAACTTATTTAAAAAAAAATTGAATGAATTACAATTTTTGAATCAAAGTATGTTAAGATACTAGCTTAATTGGCTTTTAATCCTTAATTAAATTTTAGTGTTATCTTAAAAAAGTCAAACATATAATGCTAATGCTTTAAAGAAAAATATAGGTTAAATAGTATTTTTTTCTCAATATTTTTTTCTATTTTTATTTATTTCATCTCACTATTATTTTTAATATCAATTTAGTCCCATTTTTTTTAGAAGTGAGTCAATGTTGCCTTTTCCATAGTCACTAAGTCTCTAAAAGAAGAAAAGTATAATTTGATTTTGAATTGGTCGTGTTTCTTTAAGTAATCTTGATATGATGTTGACATGTATGTTATTATATATATATATATATATATATATATATATATATATATATATATATATATATATATATATATATATATATATATCATTATAACTAATACATTATTAATAATATGTTAATGTCAACGTTGATTCATTTTTTAAAATATAAGACCAACACAATGCTAAAAATAATAGTGGGATAAGATTAGAAAAAAAGTAAAAAAATAATGATAAAGAAAAAATTAACAAAAAAAAATGAGAGTACAAGAAACAAAAGATTTAGACATGTATTTTTATTCTTGTTCAATTACAATATGTTATCTAGACACTAGTATATTCTATACATTTTATATCAGTTATTGAAAATATTCTATAGTGATTAATCACCCAATGTATTACCAGACATCATAGAACTTGTTTTTTACATCGATTATTTTTAAAATGTATGATTCTACTCACATTCCTTAGATTATTCTTTTTATTCTCCTTTTCCCAAGTTCTCCCTGTACATGTTAGATTCAGGGTTTTGGGATTCAAACGTAAAACAATTAAAATTTAAACACTAACCAAAATTAAATTCAAGAATTGAAAAAGAGTAAATTAAATTAAATTGAAATGTGTTAAAAAGAGTAAGAATTAAAATTTAATAATAAACACAATTGAAATGTTAGTGCAATTGAAATATAAACCAATGAATAAATATTGAATTAAAAATGTGAAAAGACATAATCATAAATGCAAGAAATTAAATTGCTTGAAGAAAAGAAATTAAGATATCAATATACAAATATAGATACATATTGAATTGGAATATAATTATGTTTAATGAAATATCAATATGAATTTAAACAAATTATAAAAATCAAATCAAAATTAAGCTAATTTGTAATTGACTACCAAATCAAATTTTAATTGAAACCTAATTTGAATTCTAAAACTAGGAAAACAAATCATAATTATGATATGTGATTCTAATAATTTGAGAAATAATGGAGAAACTTGAAATGTGTAAATCAATCATGAAACTTAATTTTGTAATTCATATGATCTTCAATTATTAGATTGAAAGAAACAAATTAATCCTATGGAAGAACTTTTCATTTGCACAAATGTAAACAAATAAAAAGAAGAAAGAAAAGAGAAGAGAAAAGAAAAAAATTTAAAGAGACAAAATGGAAACAAAATTAAAAATATAATTTTGGTGTAATTCTTTATTTTTGTTCCTAAAGTGTGTATATGTAAAAGATGAAGACAAATGAGATTGGGATTTGGCTGAATGTGCCTTACAAGTCCAACAAATTTTGTATACAAAACTTCATTGTGTTCTGTCTAACCTTCTAACTTTTTTTTTTTTTAAATAGCTCTAAACTATAAATTTCATGTTATATATGTAGATTAAATTCTTAGAAATAAGAAATCAGAAAGTTATGATCACAATAGTTGATAAATGATAAATTTAGTAAAATATATGACATTAAATCATTTATTCAAATCAAGCTCAATTTATTATTAATGACAAAAAAAATGAAGATAATGAGATAAAAAAAGTGTTAAGAAGTCACAATAAAGTTCTTAATGTAAATATAAAATATATGTTATCCAATTCTTGTGCACTTCAGATTTTTTTGCATGTCCTATAAAAAAACAAAGAAGAAAAAGAGAAAACAAAATTGAATATTAAAACAAATAATTCACCAGATAAAAAAATGTAATAGTATGAGTAAAGATAGAATCAATTCAACATTCAAGTATCAAAGAATCAAAATAATTAAAAATATATTATAAAATATAAAAATAAAAAAGAATTTCAATCAAATAAAATCATAGATGAAAACGATATTTTTTTACTATATATAAATTGACTTATTATATTATATTATGATCAAATTCTTTTTTACTATCATATATTCAACGTAGTCTTAATTATTACTGTTAAGATAATTATTTTAGTATTAACTTAATAAATCAATTAAAATTTTGTAAAACATAACAATAATAAATTAAAATAATAATAATAATAATAATATATTATATCTCGATACCTAATTTCTATAATATTAAAATAATAATAATAATATATTATATGTCAATATCTAATTTCGATAACATTAATTTTAAGTAAAAATGTAATATTTATATATAAGGTTAACTTTATATATTATATTTCAAATATATACATATATATTAATTTTTATTTTATATGACTTTATTATTGTATAAAATTAATTATTTTTCTCAATTTTAATATAATTTATCTAAATAAAAGTAATTTTAATAAGGTAGAGAATCCGGTGGGACAACAAAAGTGTAACCAGTTAACCCAAAAGTGTCACCACTTAACCACATCACACTCACATGCCATCATGTGCCGCTTCTTTCTTCCTCTCAATAATTTTTGTGTTCTATTTCTTTATTTGTCGGCTCTTTCAATTTTTAACTCCTCCTGGGTGAATCCAAAGCAGCGAGCTTTCAACCTTCTCCTCTGTTACTCCTCACCCTTTGTCGGTCTCAATATTCTCCACTCCCTTTTACTGTCACTCAACAAAAACCATCGACAATAATAATATTAGATCACTCATTGGATCAAGTGGGTGCGGGGTGCGTGGGTTCCCTTCTTCTGATTCTCGGCCTGAGGCACTTGCATGTCACGTGGCGCGGAGTGACTGTGGCCATTGCTTTTGGTAACCACGAGAGGGTCCCGCTTCGATCGAATCCGAGAAATGGGCGCGGCTGGTTCTCCCATACGGCGGTGAAAAGTTGTTGTGAAAATGCGGCGACGGGCCGCCGAGTTTCGGCGCCCGGTTCGGCGGCGGTTCGCTCATTGGATCTGGTTGCTTCTCGGCGCCTTCTCTTTTGCCGGTCTTGTTTTGTTCTTCGTGCAACATCATCACCGCGAATATCGCGACAATCGCCCCCTTCTGGTAAAACGACGTCTCACCATCCCTCCCACTCTTTTCAATCAATCCAATGAATGATTCTGTTTTTCTAATTTATCTCAGTGTTTTGTTTGCATTATCATTGGCAGCTGCTTGAAGATCTTAATTTTTTGTTTGAATATTTTTAAATAATTGAATTGGCAATTGTCAATGTGCGTCATGTTCGATCTTGAATCTCAAAGCTATGTCTTTTTTAATTTTCTTCTTTCACATGCACGGGTTTGATATCTGTTGAATGGAATTTGTCTACTATTTTTTTTTTTTCATTGCTTTTGTTTGTTTGTTTGTTAATAATCTTCCTTGGACTGTGGTTGTAGGCTTCCTGATTTTTTCGTATTTGTGGTGTTTGTTTCCGTTTTTTATTCTTTAGGGCGGAACACTTATGTCATTTAGTTCCTGCTCGGGGAATTTTTTTCTTATTTCTAATGTTCTATATAGTCTATAAAACATAGTGAGTTAAATTTAGGTCGTTGCTTCCAAAATTGAACTTTTGGGAGTCAATTGTGGTGTTTACTTCTAGATGTGATTCACTGTTGTATATGTGACATATCATCTTCTTTTTCTATTTTTTGTTCTGATTTAAAGCTTAGCCTGTGTATAAATGGATCTTCCTGTGGGGTGTGATGTTATTACCTAGGCTATGGTTGATGCTGAAGGAATAGTCTAGTAGGTGGAGTGACAATTAAGTTAACTCCGCCTGTAAGTATGCCATATAAACTAAAAGAAGACTTGTTACTTTATTATTCCTCAATTTGAATGATTTGGCTTACTTTATTGCAGATTAAATTATGATTTTCTAATTGTACATTGTTATTGTCATAGTCATACTGTCTATGGGTGGGTGAGCTATTGTATTGGGGTCAGGAACCCTCTTAGACTCTTTCCCTATTTGGAAAGGGACATTTTTTGGCCTTTGACGGAAAAATGACTGAAGAACAGATATTGACATACTGTAATCGAGCTTATTTACTATTGGTAACTGTTGTTTACATAGAAACAATAGTTTAGTGTTTACTATCTCACCATTCAATTGCAACTATTCACTAGCACACTGACTCTTTTTGTAGAAATTGTTATAACATTGCCAACTCCTTGTAGAAGGCAATAATAATTTCTTATATAACCAGGGATTGTGAATTTGTGACTAATTCTTACAGTCATTCTGCTCTTAAATAATAATCTAATACTCATTCACCAGTTTGTAGAGATAGATCTGGCTATGTGATTGGCCATGTGAAGTGTAAAACATTAAGTATTAACATTGGTACCATGGCAGTGATTATTCTTCTAATGTACAAGGAACACAATCCAAATAACTGTTGAGATGAAGGACGGGATATAGAAAACCTATCCATTTCTATAAACCATTAGTGTGAAGTAATGACAACTGTTAATGCTTGAACAATTTTACGTTGTTGTGCAGCTCCTTTTGTGCTCCACATGACTGAAGGGATGTTATGCTCTAATAAGTGACATTACTATTTGTTATATTTCTTTCCATCCCCCTCCGCCTCTGGGTACTAACTGAGCAAGTTACTTTACATGTATTGCAGGAGAGAAATGCTAAAGTTGAAAACTCTGCCAAGAGATTGAATTTTACTGAAGAAATTTTAAGTGCAACATCCTTCTCACGGCAATTAGCAGAGCAAATGGTTCTGGCCAAAGCTTATGTGATTATTGCCAGAGAACACAATAATCTTCACCTTGCCTGGGAGCTTAGCTCAAAGATTAGAAGTTGCCAGCTTTTGCTTTCAAAAGCTGCCATGACTGGGGAACCTGTGACCATGGAGGAAGCTGAGCCAGTTATTAAAAGCCTGTCTTCTTTAATTTTCAAGGCACAAGATGTCCATTATGATATTGCAACCACTATAGTGACAATGAAATCATACATTCAAGCACTTGAAGAGCGTGCAAATACAGCAACTATTCAGAGCACCTTGTTTGCTCAAATATCAGCTGAAGCACTACCCAAGAGTCTTGTTTGCTTAAATGTGAAGCTTATGTCTGATTGGCTAAAGATGACATCCCGGCAAAAGTTTTTACACGAGAGTAGTATCTCCCCCGGGCTCACTGATAACAACCTTTATCATTTCTGCATTTTTTCAGATAATGTACTGGCAACATCTGTAGTTGTTAATTCAACAGTCATTAATGCTGATCATCCAAAACAGTTAGTCTTTCATATTGTTACTGATGGTATCATTTATGGAGCAATGCAAGCCTGGTTCCTCAGTAATGACTTAAAAGGGGCTACCGTAGAGGTGCAGAATATTGAGGAATTTCATTGGTTGAATGAATCTTATTCTCCAATTGTCAAACAGATACACAGTCCAGAATCACGAGCCTTTTATTTTGGACCTTATCAAGGTGTAAATGTCGAACCAAAATTGCAGAACCCCAAGTTTTTGTCTTTACTAAATCATCTTCGGTTTTACATCCCTGAGATTTATCCACTACTTGAGAAGATTGTTTTCCTTGATGATGATGTTGTTGTTCAAAAGGACCTAACCCCACTTTTCTCACTGGATTTGCATGGAATGGTGAATGGTGCCGTTGAAACATGTCTAGAATCATTTCATAGGTACTATAAGTATCTCAACTTCTCAAATTCGATTATAAGCTCAAAGTTTGATCCACAGACATGTGGATGGGCATTTGGCATGAATATTTTTGACCTGGTTGCATGGAGGAAAGCAAATGTGACCGCAAGGTATCATTATTGGCAAGAGCAGAACGCTGATGGGACACTCTGGAAGCTTGGTGTACTTCCCCCTGCTCTTCTAAGCTTTTATGGTTTGACAGAACCACTAGACAGAAGATGGCATGTTTTAGGATTTGGTTATGACCTAAATATTGACAACCGCCTGATTGAAAGTGCAGCAGTTATTCACTTCAATGGGAACATGAAACCATGGCTGAAGTTAGCTATAGGCAGGTATAAGCCATTATGGAACAAGTACATAAATCAGAGTCACCCTCATCTACAAGATTGTGCCACAGGTTAAAATGCACTACTTCTCAATTTCTTATGGATGATGCAATTTCGGATTATTTTGATACGTTGATCTGTGATTGCGTTGGCCGTTATTGTAGAGTCAGAAGTAGAAAGTTTTGACATTGCTGGGAATTTTGTTTTATTTTCCCTTTTGCCCTTTTATATTCCAATCAGTGTCTTGAAATAGAAAATGATTACTTTATACACTAAAGTATAAAATGCGTTAGGTGAAGAGGTGTGGAAATTCATTTTTGGCCATTGGGGCTATCTTTTCTCATTCAACAAGTTGTAGATTTATTCGTTCTTTAGTAGTTATTGTAATAATTATGAGCTCTTTTAAATAGTGATGTAATGAATGGGAACAATTTTTCACCCTTCTCCTTCAAGCTAATTCTTGATATAATTAATCCTTTGTTTATTTGCCAGCCATATTCTGTTTGGGGTGACAGTCCTTTAGGAACTTTGCATCATTTGAAAAGAAACTAAATTGTGTATCTAATATGCTTTTGAGATATTGTTTTTTAGCAACTAGAGGAGCAAGAAAAGGATTAAGGTCAACTTGTGAGGAAAATAAATTACCTATAAATAATATGACAATGACAGCCAAGGTTTTCATGACTTTAACCTTCTGATATATTTATTTACAGAACCAGGTGATGCGTGTAAGATGCTGTGTTTCGCTTCCAATTTATTAATGACCTCTTAGGTACTCTTAAATTCAGCCCTTAAAAAGTTAGATACCTGATAAGAACTGAAAATAATTAGACAGAATTGAAAAAAAAAATTGTCTTTCTTAATCTGAATTACTTCTATTTATATTGCTTCGTTCCCAATTGATATAACTTTTCTCAATAGAGTTATATCTCTATTTCAAGAATTATGTCTCTTGATTCACATCCCCTGACTTTATACCCCTTGGATGGGTTGTAATTGTTGGTTGTTTTGCATCATTTGAGTATTGTGTGCCTTGTTGGTGGTCTAGGATTGTTACTTCTTTTGTTTGTTTCCTACGAGTGTATATCTTGGTGATAAGTGGTTTATTCTTATCAATACCCCCGCCTAAAAGACTCAACTTCTTCTCAAGGTGATAAGTTGGAAAAACTTCTTGTATTTTAGCCACCAATTCCCAACTATTTTCACTCGAAGGGAAATTTTGCCATTGAATTATGACTTCCACGTTGCTAGGTTGTAGTTCATGAATATCTAAAATAGAGTCCGGATAAATTTGTAATTCTTGATTCTTAGATAACGTAGGTGGTAAAGGTTGGGACTAGAAAGAATCACCAATAGACTTCTTGAGGAGAGAGATATGAAAGACAGAATGAATTTTACTGTGAGATGGAAGATCCAATTTGTAAGCGATAACACCTACTTTTTTTAACACCTGGAAAGGACCATAAAATCAAGGGGAGAGTTTTTCATTAATCCTTTTAGTTAAGGATCTTCTCCAGTAAGGTTACATCTTCAAGAAGATCCAATCACCGATTGCATATTCTATATCACGTCGGCGTTTGTTGTCATTTGTTCGCATGATATCTTACGATTTTAGCCAATTCTCTTTTAGAGTAGTCAATAATTCATCTCGAACAATTGTAAGCTTGTTGACTTCTTCAAGATTGGAAGGAACGATGGTTTCCTTAAGAACGTGAGGAGGATCATGTCCATACAAAGCTTTGAAAGGGGACATTTTGCTAGAAGCATTATAATTGATGTTAAACCAAAATTCGGCCCACGAAAGACAAGAGACTCATTTCTTAGGCTTTGTTCCAGTTAAGCATTGTAAATAAATTTCCAAACATCGGTTAATCACTTTTGTCTGTTAGTTTGGGAATGGTATGTTGAATTGAACTTTAGTTGTGTATCTGCTACTTTAAAAAGGGCTTTTCAGACATTGCTTAAAAATAGAGGATCACGATCTCAAACAATGGAAGATGGAAATCCATGTAATCTCACAATTTCCTATAGAAATACTGCAACAACTTCGGTAGCAGTGTTGGGGTGCCCTAATGGTATGAATTGGGCATATTTAGTAAGTCGGTCAATTACCACTAAGATTGTATACTTCCCCATGGATTTGGGTAGCTTTCCAATAAAATTCATAGAAATATCTATCCATACTTGAGTTGTGATTGGTAATGGTTGTAGTAGTCCCGTTGGAGATAAGTTGTCATTTTTGTTTCTTTGGCAAACTTCGCAAGTAGCAACGAAATTTTTATATCGATTTTTATCCCTTCCAAATACATTAGACTTGCTATTCTTTTGTAAGTCTTGAATGTCCTCCTACCAAGGATGAATGAAATTCTTTTAAAATGATTCTAATATGGGAGGAAGACTTGGATAACACCAATTTCTCCTTGTAAAATAACTTATGATCCCTCAAAGTATAACCCTTATGAGATGTGGGATCAATAATTAGGTCTTGCATGATTTTTTGTAATTTGTCGTCTTGTTTAATCCCTTCAACCCATTCTTCAAAATCTTGAATTTGTAAGACTGACATGGGATAATAGGAACTTCTTCTGGAAAGTGCATTGGTAATAGATTTTTCTTCCCTAGTTTGTACTGTATTTCAAAATCGTATCCTGCTAATTTGGATATCCATTTGTATTTGTACCTCGTTGAGTATCCTTTGATCGGTAAAAAATTTCAAACTTTTTTAGTTAATTTTAATAGCAAAATGACTTCCTAACAAGTAGTGTCGTCATTTTTGAATTGTTTTCACGACTGTCATCAATTCACGATCATATACTGATTTCCTCTGGTTTCTTTCAAATAGGGTAGTGCTTCAGAAGGCTAGGGGTTTTCCTTCTTGCATTAGAATAACCCCTAATCCAATTCCACAAGCATCAGTTTTCACCACAAAAGGCTTTGAAAAATTAGGATCTGCTAATGTAGGTAATCTGGTCATTGCTTGTTTAAGTTGTTTGAAGGCAATTTGTGCCTCTACATTTTTCTTTAGCAAGTTGGTCAATGGCCTCGCTGTTCTTCCATAATTATGAACAAACCTCCTATAATAGCCGATAAGATCTAAGAATCCCCTTAAGTTGGTGACATTCTTGGGTGTAGGCCATAATGTTATTGCATCCAACTTCTTAGGATTTGCGGATACTCCTCCAGCAGAAATAACATGTCCTAGTTATTCCAAATTTGCTTGGCCGAATGAACATTTCTTGTAATTGATCTTCAATTTATTTTGTTATAGTAATGTCAATACATTTTGTAGGTGTTGTTTGTGTTTTTCCGTGGAAGAGTTGGATATTAGGATATCATTGAAGAATACTAAAACATATTTTGGAGTATTAGCTGCAAAACTTCATTCATTAATGATTGAAAAGAGGAAGGTGCATTAGTGAGTCCAAATGGAAGTACCATAAATTTATAGTGTCCTTCATGTGTGCGAAAAACAGTTTTTGCAATGGCATCTTTCTTTATCCTGATTTGGTGATATCCTAATCTTAAATCCAGTTTTGAAAATAATGAGCCCCTCCTATTTTGTCCAATAACTCTTCAATTACTGGGATGGAAAAATTGTCGGGAATTGTGATTTTGTTTAAGGCTCATTAGTCTACACAAAGCCGCCAACTACCGTCTTTCTTTCTGACTAGTATAACAAGACTGGAATAAGGACTTGTAGATTGTTTGATGATTCCTGCTTCTAACATTTCAGCAACCAATTTTTCAATCTTTGTTTTTTTATAGTGAGGATACCTGTATGGTCTAATATTCGGTATTTGGGCTCCTTCTTTGAGGTGAATGGCATGGTCCTAACGTCATTAAGGAAGAAATCCTTCTGGAGGCTCAAAGATAGAGGGAAAATCATTTTGCACATCTTTTAATTTTGGAGGAATTGATTTATTCTAATTTCTTTTTGTTTGAATATAATGATAACTAATAAGGAACTCTTCTCCTTGATGCTAAGCTTTCAACATAGTATTAAGTGATGCATCTTTGAAAGTTCAAGTTCTCCCTTTAAAATCACCTTTCTACCACCAATCTTGAGGGCCAATGTTAATTATTCAAAGTTGACTCTAATATCTTCCAAGCTTGCTAATCATTCCATTCCTAAAATCACATCTAAACCTCCGAGGCCAAACAAGTAGAATGTTGTTGTACCGATACTTCTTGCACTTTCAAAGGAACTTCTCTACATACTCCTTGCATTTGATTTTGTGACCATCTCCAACTTTGACCTCGTAAGACGAAGTGTCATCCACTTTTAATTGTAATTTTTTCTACCAGTTCCTTAGAAATGAAGTTATAGATAGCACCACAATCTATTAATACTATGACTTTGTGATCATCAATACTATTCATGAATAATTAGGGTGTTTCTCTAATTTCTTATTCGAGTTTCTCTTCAGAGTTTTCATTATCATCTTCATCTGTTACTAATATTATTTGAAGTTTTTTATTGTTGCATATATAAGAGGTGCTCCATTTTTCTTCGCAGCAAAAACATTCTCCTTTTATCTTGTTTTTCTTGAAGCTCTGCTTCGATTATGGTTGAAAATTTCTAGATCAGTTGTTGTTTTCTGGTTTGTTCATAGATGCCCTGCTAGCAAAAGAAGTAGAAGCCATTATGATTTCCTACACCTTTCTAACTAACACCATAGTAACCGTCTTCGTATGGGATGAACTTCAATAAGAGGTGTTGAATTTTGAGATTAAATTTGAAGCAATATTTGTTCCCACCTTCCAAATTGCTCAATTTTTATGTTCAATCGTTAATGCCTTCTTGACCATGATTGATAAAGTGGGGGTTCATGGAGTTTAATTTTTGCCCCAATGTCTTCTTCAATCCGTTCACAAAAATGTCCTGTAAATGTTCTTCACCAACATTTTGCAACATACCTGCAAACTTTTCGAATTACTGAATGTACTCTTCTACCGTTTCTTCTTATTTAAATGCAAAAAGAGTAGCAAAAAGGACTGAGAGTGGCTAAAGTTTGGAATCTTTTAAGAATGACAAGTTTGAATTCTCCCCATCCAATGTTAGATGTGCAAGTTTTCCACCATTGGAACCAAGATTGTGCCTTTCCATCTAGTACATCTCTCATTTGAAAGAAATGTTCCAATTTACTTATCCATTTATAGTCATCAGATTCTCCATCATATACAGGGATTTCCAATTTTCTCCATCATTCTATCTTTCCTTCCTTAGTGTGGTTTGTGGGTGTTTCCTCTTTATTGACAAAACCTTTGGGTGAGTCATTTTCTAAATGCTTGGACACATTTTCTACCATGGCTTCTATTTGTGCAAAACGTGTTTCAAGTTGTTATCGTTCTACATCTCGGGGGTTCGTGGAGTTTAATTTTTGCCCCAATGTCTTCTTCTATTTGTCCACAAAAATGTCCTATAAATGTTCTTCACCAACATTTTGCAACATACGTGCAAACTTTTCAAATTATTGAACATACTCTTCTACCGTTTCTTCTTATTTAAGTGCAAAGAGAGTAGCAAAAGGACTGAAAATGACTAAAGTTTGGAATCTCTTAAGAATGACAAGTTTGAATTCTCCCCATCTAATGTTAGATGTGCAAGTTTCCCACCATTGGAACCAAGATTGTGCCTTTCCATCTAGTACATCTCTCATTTGAAAGAAATGTTCCAATTTACTTATTCATTTATAGCCATCAGATTCTCCATCATATACAGGGATTTTCAATTTTCTCCATCATTCTATCTTTCCTTAGTGTGGTTCGTGGGTGTTTCCTTTTTATTGACAGAACCTTTGGGTGAGTCATTTTCTAAATGCTTGGACAAATTTTCTTCCATGACTTCTATTTGTGCAAAACGTGTTTCAAATTATTATCGTTCTGCATCTCGGTTTTGTCAATCCACCATCAACATCTCCAAAATTCTCTCCATTGTATCATGATTATTAGAATTAGAACGAGTTGTCGTCAATTTTAGAAGCAAAGCACTGATACCAAATTGATAAGAACAAATATAACTAGATAGGATTGAAAAAGATTAATAGAATCTATAAAGATAATTTAGAATACAAGATTTTGAGAACTTGTCTTTCCATAATATAATTCTTTCCTAATTTCCTTTTTTTTGTTTTTTCTAATCGAAATTACTTTTATTTATATTGTTTTTAACAACTGTTCCCAATTGATACAACTTTTCCTAATGGTTATATTTTTATTCCAAGTGTTATGTCCCTTAATTTGCATTCCTTGGATGGGTTGTAACTGATTATTGTTTTGCATCTTTTTAGTGTTGTGTGTTGTTGCTAGTGGTCTAGAATTGTTAATTCTTTTATTTGTTGATGTATATCTTGGTGATAGGTGGTTTATTCTTATCAATAGCAAGAATTGGTTTCTGATAATGACCGAAACAAATATGTTAGTTCATATGAACAGGAGTTAGTCTATACAACTTAATAGTTAACATGTTTGTCATCATTTTTCTTGGAAGATATCTAGCCGGTTTCGTTTCCTACAAAATCAATCAATTAAACAGTAAATGTTTTGCATAACTTGTATTATGAATTGAATTGATTATAAAAAAGTAAAACCTTATACATTATATTGGATTGTAAGATTAAAGGACATAAAAAGACCATAAACTTAAAAAACAAAATGACAAGTTATATCTGAGTATCCCTAACTTTTATTTCGGAAGATTGAAAAGTAATTAATAATCAAATATAATGCATGAAATAAGTCACCATAGGTTTGAAACCTATTACGAAATATAAGATTTGAAAACAAAGATAAAATAAAGAAAGAAATAATATATAATCAGAATCTATGTAATTCCTTAAATAAGATATATAGGTCTCGAATACAATTGAAGGTTACAAATATTTAAACTATATATATAATTATAAACATTAATAATATAAATTGATAAATAATAATAATAATAATAATAATAATAATAATAATAATTCATAATACTCACCCTTAAATGTCTAATAATTGGAAAATTTATTTCATTAAAATCTTATTAAAAAATTTATAGGTAAAAACCTAAATAATTAGTGAAAAATAATACATCATTTTGTAATAGATATTTATAATTTATTCATTTTTCTCCTCGTGTAAATTATAATAAATGAGATAACAAAATACAATCTTATGAATCAATTATAAAAAATAAAAAAAATCTTACTGAGAAAGATTTTATAAATAGATTTATCAAATTTTTATATAAAAAAATTTTTAGATTTTGTAACGTGATTACTTATAAACAAATATTTTTTTATTATTAATTATTACGAGAATTTGACAAATTACTTGTATTCACATTACATTTTAGATATATAATTTTGAAACATTTGAATAAAAACTTCATATTTATAGTAATTTCAATATAATAAAATATATATTTTACTCTAATCCAATACCTTGTTGATAAAACAAAATTATATCTTAGTAATAAATTTACAATAAATGTTATGTAAACTATAATAGAAAGATATATTAGTGTTTTTATGATATTAAGATATTGGGACTAAGAATTTTTTTCACCTTTCTCTTAAAGTCTAAAAGAATATTTATATACATTTAAAAACATTACAACCATTAGAGTGCATAGAGAATATGATTTATATTTTAAGTACCTTTATTTTATAAACTTTTAATACATAAAAACATCTTTGTAATTAAAAAAAATTGTTCTTGTAAGATCTTTTATGTAACACCTTGTATTTGATATTTAATCAAATATATGAAAGTATATTTAATTTATGTTATAGAAATGTATTATTGGACTTAGAATTGTAAGACTAATTATTAAGACTTTTGTCATTAAGTTAAATCCATTGAGTTTGATCCAAGACAAAAGAAACAAATGACTATATGATTTATTTATTTTTATTATTGTTTTATTATAATCACTCGAAAAGACAATCACAAGAATAAATTACGATACCTAAATTATCCTCCACGATCATGTTATTCTTTTCTTGTCATTTTTTTTTTATTGATCCTTATAATCTAATTGGGTAAGGTAATAATGGTCAAAATTAACCTTACCTCATCACTTAATTTGAGTATATAATTTGTAAGTACCTAAACTCATGCATGCATTTGGCACATTAAGACACATTAAGAACTAAGGGAAAATTTGAAAGAAAGAAATAAACCATAAAATTTCTTTATCATTATGGTGCCATGAATACAAACCAATATTTTATCTCCTTTACACACTTATCCTTGTTCAAATACTTTTCTTGTAATTTTTTTTTTACTTGATATATGTCATAATGTACTTAGCATATTGTTTTCCTTTTATGTAAATTTATCAAATTGAGGAAAAAAATTCTTTTATATTTTAAACAAATCTTAATATATTTGGATATTCTTCATCTTAGTTTAAAAAGTTCAAATATTATATATTTTTTCATTATGTGGTTTATTTGATTTATGTTATGGTATATTTTCATTATAATATTTTAGATTTTGACTACTTCACATATATTATTTTATAAGATTTTTTTGTTTTTTATATTCTGCTTTAATAATTATATATATATATATATATATATATATATATATATTATGTTATATTTTAAATTCACTTGATAATGCATTTGTAAATTATTCTGGATTTAATACTTTACTGGTGAATTTTCTATCCGTATTTATTAGCTGGTATGATGACTATCAAATGTGTCCATTAATTGGTTTGTTAAGTAATCAACATTTTTACTCATTTTCTATGATATATTTAATAAAGATGCTGAATCCTTTAAAACTTAATCATATTTATTATACAATATGGTGTGATTACTGTTTTCAACGTGTTGGTATAAGATGTGAGTTGAAAACCATTTGAACCTTTTCAAACATTAGTGAACTTTGGGGACAATTTCTGAAAGATAGGAGAGTTATAACACTGTATTTTGAGTATAATTATTTAAACTAATTACTAGAATAATAATAGGAGGTTTCACATCAAATTCTCCTTTTTATTCCTAGCCCTTTTCAAATTTAGTTATATCATAAATACTATTTATAATTACATATAAGCCCCTTAAATTTTATAGATTACAAATGGACCCTAATATATTCCATATTAATTGCAATTTGATCCTAAAATAATTTATTATTTACCATTTAGTCATTGAATATTTTTAATAATTATATTTTAGTCCCTAAATAGTTTTCAATATTTACAAGTAGGTCCTTGATAAACTAATTAGGTTAATTTTTCGAAATACCTTATATTTACATTTGAATGATTTAATTAATTCACAATAAATATGTTTGTAGTGTTGTTGTTGCAGCCCATTACAATCTTGGTCAATCAAGTCAAAGAGAGAAGAAAAGTTTTAAAATATACTTTTGAAATATCGCCTTCCCTTTCGTCAAATTTTATTAGCATAATTTTGTTATAACAATACATAAGTTTTAAGGAAGTGATGATAAACCCTTTTTTTAAATGATTTTTTTATACTTATTTTATTTCAAAGTTCTTAAATAAAATTTTAAAGTATTATCTATTTATTTAATTATTTTTAAAATCTTAAATTATTAAAAAATCTTAAATAATTTTTTAGACAAACATCCCCTACTTTCGAAATCAAATATGAATTTCCCATATTAATCACGGAAATTAAAAATTTCAGTTTCTAAAGACTAAAACGGAAGGGTAATATCGTCAGTACAAACATTTCGCTTCAACCCTAAAACCCCTTACATTTGTTTTCTTTCTGTCCAAGCAAATCTTCCCTCGTTCATTTTCCTTTTCTTTCTTCTAACAAATCACTTTCTCTGTTCAATCCGAATCCAAATCTTTGCTCAATCCATCTCTTCGGCCATGTTTGTCCGCAGGGTCTTGTACCGTTCCTCTGCCACCCTTTCTCGAAGCTTCAACCTTCTCTCTGTTTCACGGAATTCCCAACCGCTCTCCAATCACTTCCATTCTCTACTCCACCCATCACCCAACAAGGTAACCGCATTCCGAAAACGTGAACAAAATTTTATTTTTCGCTAATTTTAGTATTGGGGTTTATCTAGGGTTTATTGAAGACTTTACAGTTTTGGCTTTTTGTATAGCTTGTGTGAGTTTGGTATATTCTGTTATGATATTTTGGTTGAGTTATTCGGTAGATTTTGTTATTATTCTATTTTGTCCCTTACAATTCTGTGTTGGGTAAATTTAGCTTTGGTTAAATATTCTCATAAGTTTCTATCTGATCTTTCTGATGTTCCAGCTGATTCCAGTTCAAGCTGGTTTGTTTAATCCAGTGAATCCATCCTTGACTTCGAGATTCGGAGTTTCTTCTTCGGCCTCATCTGAACCAGCAAGTGATGACCCTGTAAAGGGTAGTGAGGAAGCAAAGGTAACTGATCAGTCTGAACAAGCCAAAGCTGCGGATCAAACCAAAGAATCAGGTTTCATTTCGAAATCTCGGTCTCAAGCTTGATTGGTCGAAAGAAAGATTTGAAGTCTTACATGAACTGCATTTTCTGCTTCAGATGTAGAGAGTGATTGTGATCTATCCAGGGATGATTTAATAAAGCTTGCTGCTGAGAAGGAACGGCTTTTGAAGTTGAAGCACAAGGAGATTGAGAAAATGCAGGACAAAGTTCTGCGAACTTATGCAGAGATGGAGAATGTCATGGACAGGACAAGGCGTGAAGCGGAAAATTCGAAAAAATTTGCTATACAGGTCTTGAGCTTTGACCTTTTTTGAAATTCTTATTTTGTGTGATTCATACCTTTTGGTATATGCTCGGTCGTGTGCTTTTCGATGTTGTGTTGAGTGGATTTTATGTGTTGTAGAATTTTGCGAAGAGTCTACTAGATGTTGCTGACAATTTGGGAAGAGCTGCCTCTGTTGTAAAGAACAGCTTTTCAAAAATTGAATCTCCTAAGGAGTCTTCCGAAGCATCAGAACTCCTGAAAACACTTCTAGAAGGTGTTGAAATGACAGAGAAACAACTTGCAGAGGTAGACTGTTATACTTTATGGCTTGGTTTTTAAACTCTTATTCCCGTGTTCCACATTTATATGGTTTCTGGGTAAAAGATAGATAATAGGTGAATTTGAAGGTTCATTGGGTGTTTGAGAGGGGGTTTGGGGAGTTGATGTTCAGGGAATAGGAAGTGCATTCTGGCTTAGGCTGGTGGCTGTCAAGCCGTCAGGATGTTATCCACACTTTCTTGGATTAAGATTGGTTTGAGGGTATCTTAAAGGGAAAAATTAACTCTGGTAATTTGGTTTTGGTGGGCAGAATTGTCCCTTTTATTTGCAAGGGAAGTAGCCTGGTTTTAGAGAAAATTGAAGAAAACAAATAGAATAGAAGAAAACTAGGGAATCACACCTACGGTCTTATTATGCAAGTACCTTTTAGAAGATACAAATTTACTGTGAAATGTAATAACTTCTGGGTGAATCATTCTGTATATGTAAAAGCATTTCCCATTAGATATCCTACAAGCACTATGATTAGAATTATGGTAGTCAAAATTGCGATTTGGAACATAAGATCGTACAAATGTACAATCTTTTCCCTCTTCTTTGACTCCATGTATCATCAAATTGTGATTTTTAGAGTTCGCTTGCAATCTTAGTTGAAGATCAAGACTCACATAGGTGTGGCATCACTGTCAGCGTGGGTGCGGCATTGCATGGCTGCACTGACGAGTGGGTGATGATATCTCTGTTGCGTGGGTTGGTGGCTGTGTTGCTGGGTGCGACGCTGGGCTGTTGGATGTGGTGGCTGCAAGTCTGGCAGCTGTATATCTTTTCACACTCAAGCCAAGATATTTCTAGATGTGTGTTTCTGACCTAAATCCAATTAGGTTAAATCCTCCTCAAAGGCCAATAACCCATCTTTTATCTTTTAAAGCCAGTATGCACTCCCACTTTCAGCCTAACAAAAAATAAGAGGCACTTCCTCTTATAAAAGAGACACTGCCACTGTGCAGTAACCTAAAAGCTTAAAATAATTACTCTTATGAAAAAGAGACGTTGCCACTGTGTTACTGTGTAGTAACTTAGAAGCCTCAAAAAATATGGGACTCTTCCTCTTCTCGTCTAAAAAAGACACCCCCACTGTGCAGTAACTTAAAATCCAATATTCTCCCACTTTGAACCTAAAATTATTTGAATTGAAGTTTGTATATTTGGCATATATATGAATTTCATAAATATTGTAGAATCTTACTATTCATGTTACGATCCCCCCAATCATGATTTATACTTCTCTTGTCGATCTTGAGCAAGATCTCGATTTTGACTACTTTGATTAGAATTGTAATGCTATATGTATGTAAGATGTAAGAGAAGCTAGGAACAAATTAAAGAACACACGCCAAGAACAATCCAATACAAGAAAAGTGAATGCATAGATAGGCTTATACATAAGTAACAGTGACCTAGTTATGGATGGAATATTAACATCAACCCCATAACAATAGGTCCATGTTTAGAATAGAGTTGAGTAGAGTTGCTCATAAGGGAGTGAAGTGAGACTGAGTCAAACATTTTATATTGTTTGCTTGATTCATTTTGGTTGACAACTGCTGCTTACAGGTACTAAAAAAGTTTGGTGTAGAAAAATATGATCCTACAAATGAGCCATTTGATCCACACATGCACAATGCCATCTTCCAAATCCCTGATGCTTCCAAGGCACCTGGCACTGTTGGAGTTGTTCTGAAGGTATTCTACATACTTGTTTGTTGTAGTACTGTGATTTTCACCCGAATGTCAACACTTTTTTTCTTCAAAATTGTGTTTTTATGGAAAATCTTTTTGAACTCATTAGAATTCTATGTTGGTGTGTTTCATGATTTATGACTAACTTTTTCTTTAGGTTTAATTAAGTTTTAAGTCCTCAATATATAAACTATTTTTGTTTTGACTATCCAATAATTTGTTTTTGCAACAAGGTACTTAATAAATTATAAAATTTTGATTTGAGTTGCTTAAAATATATTTATGTATATTTTGGCCCTATTATTATGTTGACGTTTTCAAGTAATTCCTAAATATTTGTCGATTTCTCTCTTAGTCTCCAAAATTATATTTTATCATAACAATCAGATAAATTTTGTATGGCTCAGCATAAATAACACAAGAGACTTAATGCTTATTCTTCCTTAGCATTCTAGGTCGTGTAACATGTGTTTCAACTTAACGGACACGTGGGTAGTAGAATTAATGGAAGTTACATTAGATTCTTAAACCAAAATTTTTAATTTATTAGGTAACCCGTTTGAAGAAAATATTAGGTACTCAAAGTAAAAATGGGTCATTTATTGGGCGTTTGAAACTTATTTAAGCCTTTTGTTATTATATCAGCTATGCTTTTTATTATCATCCGTATTTATCAAAAGGTCTTTACTTTCTAATTATTTTTGAGGTTTTGTTTGGAATAAATGTAGTCTTTTGCTTGACGGTTCATTCAGTAGCACCCAAAACATGGCTTAACCCTATTGCCATATTTGCAGCCTGGATATATGCTCTATGATCGTGTACTTCGTCCGGCAGAAGTTGGTGTAACTCAAGAAGTAGATGACAACAAAGCAACTGAGTGATGATGGCATAAACAAATGCATGAGTAGTGAGTTCTTATTGAATACCATTCAATGTCTTTTTGCTATATGCATCTCCTATTATTCGGAGTATTTGATAACAAAAATACCATGTACGATGAGCATGATTCCATGGGATTTTGATTGTATACATGCTATTTCCATGGTTATTATAGTAACATCTTTTGTAGTGGGGACCTCTGCATACCCGCACTGAGTTCAGGAGTTCTAGTCCCTTTCTTTTTTTTGCCAATCGTTTACATGGAGAAAGATCACTCATTGCAAGAGTTTTTTAATCATCTTTTGTGCCTGATGCCTAAATTTCAGACTTGTAAGATTTAAATGGTTTTCTACATATCATTATATCTAAAGAATTTAATTACAATACTGGGTCAGTATAAATATTTTTTAAGGATGCTAGCTTTTGTAATTAATTTGCAAGTCATAATTAAAATGATTTTCAATTGATGGATGCTGTAAAATAATTTGTATTGACGATATACTAAAAAAGTTTATTATTTTAATTATTGGTTTTGTATTTGTATTATTCCGTTTGATCAAGGTTGCTTCCAAGTGATTATTCAAAACTTAGGCAAAGGAATTTAGTTTCTCCTTACTTACCGACCTTTAGTTAAACAAAAATGTGTTACTCGTCATTAATATGTTCAACAGCAGAATCACAGTTTCTTCAGAGAATTTATGTATGCGTTAAAGATTCAATTATTATGCTGGTATTAGTAAAATAAATAAAATAAGTAAAATTTTGCGTGTATATTAGCAAATTTGAATCCAAGTTTAAAACTAAATTGGCTCATGTTAAATATATATGTAGTCTCTAAAAACTAATTAGTTATAATGAAAGGTAGTTGACTTGACACTTCAATAATTATTTGCGAATTTTTTACAAAATTAAAATATTAGACAAACTTATTTAATATATTATTCAATTGGTTTAACATTAGAAGAAAAAGTTGTTGAAATAAGCTTAAAAATGAAGAAAGGTCCGGACAAAGAAGTTGGGTGTAAGGGAATGTTCACTTGTGTCATTATGGAGAGATATCATATTTTATAATGGAGGAAATATATGATTATATAAAAGTAGGAGAAGTTGTATTACAATGTAAATATGATGTCCTCTCTTGCCTGTATTACATTAGTTAATAAATAATCTTATTTTATGTCACAAATTATGAAGGATATGGGTAGCTAAGTATGTTATAATATCTTAATTATTGTTGGAGTTCTAATGATAATAATTTCAATGACCTCATCCTAATTATGCATTGAGATCTCAAACAGGAGGTAAGGAAGGCACAAATTTAATTCTATGGATATCAATTTTGACATGACAGTAAGTGTATATTTAATATATTCTATTCTTCCATAATTAATTTCACTTTTACATACAAAGTGAAATAAACAAATATTTTTTTTATTTTGAAATAATTTTACTTTTTTCACATTTAAAAGATTTTTTCATATTGAAAGAATTACGAGACTTTAAACATCAAAATATATATAATATTGTGAGATAATACTTTTATATGATTTTTGGATAAATATTATTATTATTATTTACCTTATTATATATATATATAATAAAGATATTTATTGGTTGCTTTGTTTAGAATGGTTGTTCAACTATCAGATTTATACTCTATTCTATTAGCTATCTTTTTCAAACCTTTGTATATTTATATTTATAGGTCCTCTATGTTGTAAGGTAGTAGAACATTTTGTAACCCTTAGAGTGCTGATTATAATCCTACGAGTATAGCATTCTGCATTTATTGTTTGATTTACTTTTATTTTTTATTTTTTATTTTTAAAAAAATTAATCATCAATTTTCAAAATCTATTTTTCAAATAATTTAAAAAATAAAGCTAAGTGACAATTCTATTTTGAAAATATTTTAAACAAAAAAAAGGATGATGTCGAAGAATTATAATGGAAGAAAGCGAATTATATAATTTAATAGAAACGCAAATTCTATTATCTAAAATTAAAAGTAAAAAACATATTTTATCAATTTTAAAAAAATAAAAATAAAAATAAAAAATATTGTTAAACATTGTTCTAACAACATGATTGTGAAACAAGTTTTTTTTTTAAGTTTTAAAAATTATAATCTATTTATATAAACAGTGAATAAATAATCTTAAGTCTAGGGCATGACTAAACGATGAGATGACATGAGTCAAGAGGAAAAGGAAGTTTGTGCCACATGTTTGTGTATTTGAAAGAACTGATGGGTCTGATGCAAAAGGGTTTTAGTCAGAATATGCAGAAAAGTCTTAAATTATTCACTCTCCTCAACGTTTTGAGATGAAGAATGTCTTCCGGGGGTGAGGAAATTAATAATTTGAAAGTGTGTCGTGTATATACTTCATAGGGTCCTGCCTTGCTCCTTTCACCTTCAGGACACAGAATCTTGCAAGTAGTGAGGTATGTGCTACAGAGAAGAAGAGGGTGAGAAATAGGATAAGGACAGTGGAGAAAAGGACATAAAGTAGGAAATAAAGGGTGTATTATGGGCAAGGATAAGCTGTTGGGAGGGACGCAGAATATACGGAAGAGATGGACGATGCATGTGCAGCCTGAATTGACAGAAACTGCCAAAAGGGAAGTAGATGCAAGAGAGATTCAACTTTCTAGTAGCATTTTTGGGCTTAGGATTACCCATAAATTGTTCTATTCACTGCCACAAAGGACTCTAAGCCCCATTTGACAATATCAGTTCTTTTATTCCTTTGCATATTGGAAATTAAATAATTCACATGTTAATGGCTTCCGCCATTCACTTTACTCCCATAATTACACAGATAGCAGAGATAGCAGGGCTCTTTATATCACGATAGAATCAGTCGGAGAATCTCTCCTGATAACTTGAATGACTTTTCTGTTTCTTCTAGACAGTGGTTCTTTTCTTCCCGAGTCCAATCCTAATAAAACAAAGGAATATCTAAAAGGTAAATTCAACACCCTAACTAAGAAAAGTTGGAAGCTATCACTGTATCTTGTGCTAATTAGGCATAAAACCGCAACATAAATTAACCTACTGATTATTTCTTAGACAATTGGACAGAAATGTTATGTAAATAAATAATTAAGAAAGGCCAAGAAACTTACTTCGGCAACTTTATTCAATTTGTCCCTTACATTCTGCAACAACTGGGGAAGGTCGCCATCCCACTCGTAGAACTTCAATGCCTTGTTGTCAAGTAGCTTTTCAGCAACCTATAAGATGCAGGAAGAACTTAATGAGTATATGAAAGCATAGTGAAGCTTATACGATGTTTATCTCATCAGATGATAATGATGAGAATAAAATAAAAAATTAGAGCATAGTGAAGCTTATACGATGTGCAGTGTTGTACGAACAATTTACATTAGGAGAGAATAAAAAACATAAGTATTAGGAAACCACATATTTGTAAACAAAGCTTGTTATCACTTCTTTTTCTGTTATGCTTTTTATTAAATTGAAAACAAAATAATTTTAATCCTTGCTGCCAGGTTGCTTTGCTTTCCAGGTTTAGTTGTTTTGCTTATTTACTTCTGAATAACATATGATCAAAATGCTTCAGAAAGGGATTTGGCCTGATATGTCAATTTTTTTTAATGTGATATGCTAATTATACGTGTATGTATTTGTTAGGTAGAGGATAAGGTGAAGGAGAAGTATGATAGTTAATGTATTATTGAGTTAGTTAGTTGTTTGAGATATTATATAACTAAGGTAAGAAGAGTAGGAACAGGGAGTTCAGTTTTGTAAATTGAGTATTAACTCTTTGTGAAAAGAGAAATCCTTAGAGGAGAAAGTGCTATCCTATTTCTTCTTTTCAAATAAAAACTCTTTTCTTTTTCTTTTTAATTCTTAGTTCCTAACAAATTGATCTGACCTGGCAGATCTTTGAGGGATAACCAGTATTAGAGATGGGGGAAGCACAAATTTGGGGCATGGGGAAGCTGCCACCGTTTGTTGGGGTAGATCCAATTGGATGGATGGCTAGGGCTGAAAAATTCTTTGAGCTGCAAGAAATTGATTCATTCCAAAAGATAGCTAGGTGGAGTATAAGGTGAAGCAGATGCTAGTAAGATAGCTAGGATATAAAGAGGATATAAAGAGGATAAGAAGAATAGGAGAAGGGAGTTCATTTTCGTAAATTGAGCATTAGCTCTTTGTTAAAGGAGAAATTCTTTGTGAAGGGGAAACCGTCTAAGAAAAGAAAGTTCTCCTATTCCTTGTTCTCTTTATTCTATTCAATAAAAATCTTTCTTTCCTTTTTCTTTTCAGTTCTTGGTTCCTGACAGCATTCTTTAGTATTATTGATTAATTACCAACAACATACTAATAGCTACACAAAAGGAAGTGTTTTATGCATAAATAAAATGGAACATATAGTACATATGCACAATATTCTGTAATGGAAATAGCCAACATCAGACTTGCCAGATAATATATACTTATAGGTAGCTGACATAAACTTGCAGATGTCAAGGAAAGATGAGATATTCCCACTTCATCAAAAGCTTCATTATGTTCTAACATTCTCAAAGGAGATTTATAGTGTAGAAACAAAGCCCTAACGAGAGGGGAAATGAGAATATCCCCAGATATGACTGCCTATAAATAACAAAACTGATGTTCCTGCTCACAAATTGCACTCAACCAAAGATGAACTCAAACAATGTGACATGGCATAATTTAACCTATTTAAGCACGCATGTTTGGTTACCTTTTTTCCAATCATTCGACCACCAGCTGAATGAGCAAAGTAGATGTTGTAAAAGTGGCAAATGAAAGCTTGGGGATCCTTCTCAGATAACTCTTTGAGATATTGCGCATATGTAATACCAGGAGAAGAAGGTTCAGGAATGCTATAACCTTGCTCCTTGAACCACTCCAAATCTTCTGCCAAACTTGCAGACCTTTCCAATCCAGTGTTTCTGAATTCAGCATCTACACAAGAAAGACAAATGCATTGGGCATATTTAACAAGCTGATCGAACACATATAACGACACTAACATATTAGTTGTACATATACTATAGATGTACAGAATAGAATAACCTATATGGATAACAAGAAAAACTCAGAGAGTTAGAACAATTATGACCGCAACTTTTTACATGAAATTGGCTATACACTTGTACCCACATTTATAACCTCTCAATAGCTCAATACTTGCCTTAATTCCAAAAATATTACAGATGACGGTTTGCACACAAATATTAGCCATAGAAAAGTTCGAGAACTTATAAAGATCACGATATGGACCAGTAGTTATAAAAAAAATGAAAATTAAAAACAAGAAAAAAATGAGCTTCACAATTGTCAGAGCACTCAATAATAAGAACTTATACAAACATTTAGCTCGTATTTTAATCTCATTTACTTTATCACACCCAATATTTGCAGCACAATCCAAAACTAACAAAGACGTAAGCAGCAAACAGAAGGCGTAACCTTTCAAAATGTCATAAATGTTAAAATCCAAAAGCATGGTGTTATTGGAGATCCTGCATTAACCAGAGATAATGAATCCAAACACCACTTTTTAGTCCAATTTTGTAGGTTAAGTTACACAAATCCAATTTGTAAGAGTTGATTTTGTTTTGCAGGTGTCACCACTTCTAAAGACACTCAGAGGGACGAGTAAAGATGGACTCAAAATAACGTTTGAGCATTCTTAATGTCTAAACAATCACAATGACGATCGTGAAAAATAAGCCAAAGAGCAATAGCAGAAACTCACAAAAACCATAACTAGCCTCTTGAATTAAAAAAGTTAAAAGGGTTAAGATTCATCACAGCTCACTTGTTAACCAGTGTGATGAGCCCATAGTGCACTGGTTAAGGAATTGAAAGAAGAGAACTTTTATTTAAAATCATATGTAAGTGTATTACAAAGTCATAGAAGTGTGCATTTTTACGCATTACAATAAGCAAATTTCTTCTTCTAATTGTATAAGGAGAGCACTAGTTAGCATTTACCTATAAAACATAACTATTTATTGCAACTCATCATTAGTTGGAGTTAAATCATACATCATATATACTAATGCAACTCATCATTAGTTTGAGTTAAATCATACATCATATAAAACTAATGCAACTGGTAAAACAGGACCCTACATAAATGCAGAACAAGCATTAGCCACATCAATAACCTCGCAATTAGCACCACATATCAGCAGCACCATCCAAAACAAACAAAAAACCCAAACCTCAAATATCACATTAAAACACACACACATAAAATAAAACACTACTAAAATATCGTGGCAGAAAAGAGAAACTCACAAAAAGGCTGAGGAGCCTCTTGAACTATGTCTTCCAGCGTGTCATAAACGAGCTTACTGTCCACAAGAAACTTGAGGTACCCTTCAACGGTTGGGTCCCACTTGGTAACGGCTTTCTCTTCTGGTTGTTTCACCTCCTTCTCACCCTCCTTGGCCTGGTCCCTGGTGTGCAGCCTCATCGCCACAAACCTCATCTCCTCCACGAACCCCTTCGACCCCCCCTTCTTCTTCGGCGTCTCCGCCGTGGCCGCCGACACAATAACCGTCTTTCTCGGCATGGTAGCACGGACTCCACGAACCCCTGCTGGCAACCCCGTGGGCAAGAAAACGGAGCGAGATTGAAGAGGCGGTGATACCAAGCGGGGCTTAATATACAGCAATTGGGTCTGGGACACAGCTATTAGTGACGCCATAGGAGAGAGTTGAGTGCACGTAAATGTTGATGTGAAGGGAGGAGCAGATGAACGGGCACGGTACTTGGGACTGTGTGTGTAAGAGAGAGAAATAGAAAAAGAGGAATGGATGAAGCAGTAGTCTTGAAGAAAAAGCTTGGATGGCGAATAATAATAATAAAGAAAGAAAGAAAGGTGTGAAAGGGGTGGGTTAAATTTTTAAACAATCGGTGCTGATTGGTGTCGGAGGATATACGAGGGTACGAGTGTCAGGATTAGTCCATGTGAAGTATGCAGAGAAACTTTTTTTTTTTTCTGTGCCTTTTCCGTTCAACAGATGCGTTTTTTTAGTTGTAGTCTGAGTCTGTCACCAACATGCTCTTCTTGATAAGCGTATTTATCCAATCTCATCACTAATTTGCTATGCTTAATAATGACATATTTTAGTTAAAAAAGACAAAGAAAAATAATTATAATAATCTATGAAATCATACTAATGTCTTGAAAACACTCACAAAAACATTAGATGGATATTTGAGGGGAATATAACCAGTTCCCTGGGTTTGAAAATCCACTGTTTTTGTCAAAGATCTCCGGATTTTAGGCTCATAATTACCTTTTTGTTTCACTGTTTGTTTGTTGTATTTTTTTTCTCACTTTTAATTAATGATTCAAATTTATTTCTTAATTTTAAATTGATGCAACTCGTTTCTTTAAATTTTTTAAAATGTTAATCCTAGTCCGGAAATGTTAAAAAAAACAATTAATAATGATCTTTTCGTAACAAGGGCACTAATTACTATCACAAGTTAATTTGATTATTAATAAATATGATATATAATTTTTCATTGTATATTTATGATTCTCATAAAATGAAGAAATAAAAATTAAGAATAAAATCATAATAAATTAGAATTTTAAATTATTCAAAAGATAATAATAGATCTAATAATATATAAGATCAAAATATTCTTTTTATAAATATGATAAATATAAAAATTAATTATTAATAAGAGATGTAATTACGTAAAATAAATAATTAAATTTTAATTTAAAAATTTTGTTTAACTGTAGTTCATTAATTGAAAAATAATTTTATATATAAAAATATAATATAATTTATTAAAAATTTTAATTATCAAAAAATGTATTAGAAGGTAAGGTCTTGATGAATCTTCATATTCAAAAGGTTAATCAATAACAACCTTCAAATTTGTCCGTGGTGTTCAAAGTAAGGTTTGTACGGCTGCAAAGTTTAATTAGAAAAAATATTTGATAACTAAGTTAATATAACCGAAAGGAGAATAATAATGTTAAAGTGTGTGAATTAGAGAATGAGAGAATATGTTTATACAGGGAAGAATGTTATTCAATTTATGGGATTAGAGTATTAGTTAATAAATGATAGGATTATCCATAAGATTTGATGGTAATATAGTATTTTATTGAATATCTAAATTTAATGGTGATGCAATCATAAACCAAGTGAAAGTTTATCAGGTATTACAAAAGTTAGAAAAAGAAGAAAAAAAAGAAGAAGAAGTCAAGAGAGCAAGATTCTAAAGGTATAATTAGAAGAAAGCGGGTTTAAGAAGAGCTTCACCAAATCAACAATATAAAATTCTTTGTAACATTACAAACAGTTCGCATCTTCGTAGTTGTTGATATTCTGATGAGTAAATAATATATTATTAATAAATAATAAAAAAAGAAAAAAAAAGAATAAAAGAATAAAATTGTAAATATATATTTAAATATATTAAATAATCATTAAGTTTGAGGGGATAAAATCATAAATTATACGAGTAGTTACAAAATTGAGAAGTGACTGAAAGGATAAAATTGTAAATATACAAGTAAATAGATTAAATGTTCAATAAGTTTCGGGACCAAAATCGAAGTTACAAAATTTTGGGAGACTATGACCCCTTTCAGCTCCAAGAAGATCTGTCGTTACAAAAATATTTTAATAAAGATATTATAAAATAACAATGATTATTCTAAAGTGAATATAATATAAGATGTAATGATAATTTTATAATTATATGGAGAATATTAGATGGATAGTATATGAGATACTAAGTTAGTATATGTATAATTGAGGTAGTATCTCATATACTTATTAGTATTTTTTTTTTTAATTTTAATATCTTTTCCATTTACTTTATTAGGTTCTGAACGATAAAAACTGTAAATGAAACTAATCATTTTATGATATATTGAATATAAAATTTTTGTTTTTCTTATATTTGTTAGGCTTTAAAGTACTTTTTTTTTTACATAAAAAATATCAACTTTTTATATTATTTGATTTTATATCTATTATAAAAATGATATAATATATATTAAATAATCAATATTAAAAATATATTTTTCTAATAATTTTGTGCACTATTTCAATTTTCTTTTCCTATAAATAATTTATAATTTCAAGTATTTTTAATCTTTAATATTGATATGTTCCTATTTATTTATAGGCTGAAGTTATATTGGTTTGTTGCATGTTATGATGCATTATTTAAAGAATGAAAAATATAATTCAAATTAGAAAAAGAAGGGATATTAAAATTTTTCTATGAATATTAGATTAGATAAAAAATATTTTGATTATATATTTATATTCACAATTTTAAAAATTGAACGCATCGATTCAATTGATTCGTTACTTTCAAGTAATTAAATTTTAATTAAATAAAAATAAAATAAGATAAAATAAAATAAAAAAAATATCTAAAAAAATTAAATTTTTAAATTTAACTGGTTTTAATATAATTTTTTATAAAAAATATAATATATTTTAATTTTTTTATTTCATATTAATTAAAAAAAATTCAATAATAATTATATTTTATTTTATTATAATAATAATTTTTCTTATATATTTTTAATATATTTTATATTTTTAATTTTATTTAAAATTACCAATCCTTCATTTCTGTGTGTCGCAAGCAGTCAAACACGTCATCGTTTTTCTCACACTTTTATCCATGTCACGTCCTCTTCTAACCCAAATCAATATATAATAGGGATGGCAAAACGGTCAGCCAGCCCGTTTAGTCGCCCGCCTTTGGCCCACTAAAAGCGGGGTGGAGTGGCTAACTCGATATAATCATGACGGGTTATAGACCTTGACCACTCCGTCAAGTGGGTTGTGGCTAGCCATGCCATAATTTAGAAAAAATAATTTTTTTAATAAATTTAATAATAAGATTATTATTTGTTTGTCAATAATTCAATATATATATATATATATTATTTCAATTTAATAATATAAATCAATATATTATTTTAAAAAATTATAATTTAGAACAATAATAAAATTTACATAATAATAAATAATAACAAATATATATATATATATAAATAAAGTTAAACTTATAAAATTTATATTTTTTATATTGAAAAATTCAAATACCTATATCTTTTTTATTTGATAAAATTTCATATTATTTTTGGTTGAGTAATTCTTATACCTTTAATTCAAGTAATAAGGATAAATATAATCAGTGCTTAGGATAAATAAGGAGAACATGAGAGAAGGTTATATTTCATGAAGGAGAATATTTGTTGTGAGAATGAAACTTTTTTAATTCTCTTTTTAAAATTTTTAACTTTATATATTATCTTTATAATTAATTTTATTACAATAAAAAATTATTTTTTATTAATTAGGCGAGCCACGGCTGGCCCGTCCCGTCCGCGGATTGGCCCGACGGGTTGGCGGGTTTGGCGGACGGACAAAGCGGCTGGTGGGCTGAAAACACCAACCCGCCCCGCCATATTATTGCGGGCTGGCGGGCCAGCCTGCCAGGCCTAGCCCGTTTTGCCATCCGTAATATATCACAAACAAACTTCATACGTTTACCATGAATTAACCACTGAAGGCTTTATAAATATTTTAAAGCTTCATGTCTTCTTCTTGAAGTGCCTTGTAAAACTTAAATATAGATTACTTCCATGTTCATCTTTTCTTCAAGGATAATGACATGCAAACCAAATAATTAAATTATTTATTTATTCTTTGCTTATTAAGATGATTTTGGTGGAAAATAAATCTACCTAATTTATTCATCTTTCTACCTCAAGAGGGATCTTGTTCCAACACAAACTATTCAAAGATTAAAAAAAAATTGTGAATGAACTCGTGAACTTTTTATTATTATTATTATTATTATTATTATTTTTTATGAACAAGGATATTTTTATCTAGAGTGAAATACTAATTCCTCTAGATATCAAAGTATTTAAATATGATAATAAATGAATAAATTATGTACGTGTAAGAGTTGGTAATCATTAGATATAAAAACTTGATAACCATCAAACATGTATTTGCTCTTTATATGATATTTAGTGATACAACGATCTTATATTAAAATACAACTAGATCATAAAATCCTCTCATAAATGCATATTTGAATCCATGTTTAAACGTATGATATAATCAATAAAATAAACCTTCAAATATAATAGTAACAACCAATTTATAAAATGACAACTTTGAAAAAAAATAAAATCATATCATAATACCCTAAAAGCACTTACATTCTATACAAGAATGTGGTGAAGTTGTAAGATTATAGTTTTAGTTCAATGAAACTTTTATACTTATTTTATTCTAAATGTTTATAAAAAAATTAAGTATTACCGATTTATTTGATTATTTCATATTTTCTTTAAAATTTTAATAATAAGTATAATAATTTAAAGTGTTACAATATGAAGTTAAGGAAAAAAAAAAAAGGTTTGTTTTGTTTCTCATGAACATATTTTGTTTGTATTAGTTAAATGTAGGTGTATAAAAATATGATTTTTAGGTTGGTTAAATAGTTATATATGGTGTACAATTACATATTACATCTTGTACTTAACACGCGGTTAACAAAATCTTATTTTCCTTAAGCATTTCTAGTCCTACTAAATTCCGAACGATTTCAAATAGAACCAAATAATGAATATAATGCTCTATTTTAGTTGCAGAATAACTAAAAAAATACACTTTGATCTTACCAAAACATTTTTTTTTTATCGGTAACAAAGAATAAAATTAAGAAAAGTACAAAGGGGTACTTCAACCCAAATATAACTAAAAGAAGCTAGATGAATGAAAATAAAACATACCCTGCTGGGTCACAAGAACGAAAGCTTAAGAATACATGTTCAATTACTCCAACGGTGCCTAAAGGAACTAGTTTCGTGTAAAATGTTAACAGTAACAAAGCTTACAACAAGGTTAAGAAAAAAACCTTATAACTCTCGGATACTCCCGCTCACCGTCTTCTTATATGAGTACTCATCATTGTGGCATGATTACACACTTTAACCTGAAAATACATATACCAGCCAACACAGACAAAAGAGAAGCTAAAGGGCAGTTAGTCTCATACATCTTACCGATTTATAGAACCAATCGGAGTTTGCTAGGCTCGCTCCATCCCAGTCTCTAGCGCAACAAGCAGTGAAATTTGCACTCGCATTACTAAATCCTACTTCCGCATCAAATTTATTATTTTTAAAAATACATTTATTCCTTTGAGACCAAATTTCATATACCACTGCTACCCATAGTCTTTTCCACAACATGTTTCCCTTTGCTCCCAATCCACCTAATGCAAAGGTTTCCAGGCTTGCTTTCGCCTCACAGTGGCTAACAAAACTGATTCCTACCCATCTAAAGCACTTTTCCCAGATCTCCCTAGTCATCTTGTACTTGAAAAAGAGATGATTGGATGTTTCGTCCTCACTTCCACACAGTGCATTTTGGGTTACCTATATCAACCCCTTTCCTAGCTAAATTTACCTTAGTAGGAATCCTATCCTGAAGAATTCTCCACCCTAAAACCATGACTTTAGGTATCGCTTTAATTTTCCAGTACCATTTGAAGATCAATTCGTTCTCATTGCAAGGTTCTTCGTTTAGAATCTCACACGCTTCTTTTACAGTATACCTTTCATTTTTATTTGATCCCCACAACCACTGTAACCTTATTAAGTGTTACGCCCTGAATCTTACTTAGCATTTCCTCCTCCATTTCCTTCTCCCATTCGAAACATTGTCTTCTCCAGCTTACTCTCCATTCCCATCTATTTTCCATCCACACACCATGTTCTGATAGCACCCCATTTTTGTTCAGTCCTATTTGTTTTAACCTTGGATACAAGCGACCTAAACTCTGTTCCCCAATCCACACATCGTCCCAAAACCTTATTTTCTCCATATTTCCTATTTTCCATGTTACATGTGTATCAAACCAAACTCTACCAACATTATCTTTACATATTCTTTTTATATCTAGCCACCATTTTGAATTCTTATTAATGTTTTTCGGTTCGTCTAAGGCTCTCCAGGACTCATATTTGACTTCCATTACTTCTTTCAATAATCTTTTTGACTCGACACCTAACCTCCATTTCTATTTTGCTAGTAGGGACCCGTTCATCTTCTGAATGTTCTTCACCCCTAACCCATCCTCTTCCTTTCTTTTACATATATTTTGTCATTTTACCTACGATATCTTTTTCCCTTCTTTGCCCCAGCCCCACACAAACTCCCTTTGAAAACAAAGACTTGTTATTGAAAAAAAAAAAAATTAACATACGTAATTCATCTATTAGAAATCTATAAACTCAAAATATGTCTCTTGTTAATTACGTTTACTTTCCTAATCATTCTATTTTACAATAGTATTAATGAGATTACTCTAAAAACATTTAAAAAAACAGTTTTATTAATGAGATTACTATTTTTTTATGAAACTAAGGCAAACACGCAGTCAAATAAAAAAAAATTAGAGTAATTAGTTAAAGAATATTGATGTTGATTTGATTTAATAAAAAAAATTACGTAAGATGTATGCATACAAATTTATTTACCACTAAATTTAGCATTAAGTTTAAATATTTATATATTTAAAAATAGGAGATTTATATTTATGAAATATGGTACCTTGGGTTTTTTTTTTCTTAAATATTTGTGCTTGAACTTTTAAAAGTAGGACATTGACTTTTGTGTTAAATTCTATAATTTTAATCGTTTCATTATTTAATGACGATTATTACAATTACTTGTCATTAAGGTGTGTTCGACAGTAAAGAAAAAAGTGTGTGAAAAGAAAATGAAAGAAAAAAAAAAGAAAAAAAAAGAGAGAAAGGAAAGTGAGATGAAATAGAGTAAAAACTAATTTTGTTTGTTGAAAAGAAAAATTACATGAAAAAGAAAAAGAGTGTTTCATTTTTAAAAATAATAAATAATTAAATATTTATTTAATTATAAAATTATTCATATAATTATTAATAATTTTTTTATTAATAAAATAATTTTTTATATATAATTATAAAATTATTTATTTTTAAAGTTATTTGAAATTAAATTAATAAACTAATATCATATTACAAACAAATAAAAATATATAAAATTATTCATTTTAATTTTTATAAGCATTATGATATTTTATTAAAATAATAATTAGAAAGTATATATATATATATATATATATATATATATATATATATATATTAAAATTATAAACATAAAAATAATAATAATCAAGTTAAAATAATTTTGTAAAATAAATTTTCTTTTTTTTCACTTTTCATTCATTCTTTGAGGGAAAAATAAACATATCCGATACATGTAATGATATTTTCTTTATGTTATTTTTCTGTTGCTTTCCACTTTTGCAAATAAACTAAGTTTAAAGGAATTTTTTATATTTTTAAGTAAAAAAGTTGTAGTCAATTAACTTTGAAATGTTTTATCTGAAAAATTATGCAATAGGTTAAAAACATCGAGTTTGAATTAAAATTGTCAACATGGATGGTTTGTAGGGAAAGTATAATAATAGGTTGTTAACTAGTGATGTGAATTTAGTTGTTTATAACTAAGTCCTATAAAAGATATACAAAACAACTAAAAAAAGGAAAGACACATTTAGAAAGTAGTTGCTTAACACATCAATGGTATTCAATCCTTCCAACTCCAATATAAATAAAGTTAACACATACTCCAAAATTAATTCAGTTGAGAGAAGTGAAAGTGTGGTATAAATAAAAACGAAAAAGTTATGAAGTTCTCAACAATTATAGTACTTGTATCTTTTCTTGTTATTGACTTTGCTGTAGCTCAAACTCAGACTATTGATATATCAAAATTTGGAGGAAAACCAAATTCAGACATAACCAAGGTATATCAACTAGTAGTATTGAATAAAATAGTAATCAAATTTCATGACAAAATGTAGGATTATTTTGTTGTTATTACCCTATTTATGATCAATTTTTGATTTGCATATTTTAAGGCTGTAACAAGTGCTTGGACTGAAGCATGTGCATCCCCTAATCCTGTCAAAATTGTGATTTCGACTGGGACGTACAAGATGCTTGCAGTAGATTTGAAAGGCCCTTGTCAGGCTCCTATTCATATTCAAGTTGATGGTATAATTATAGCACCTAAAAACCCAGGTGAAGTTTCTGCTGATCAATGGGTCAAGATTCAATATGTTGACTCCTTAACCATATCTGGTAAAGGAGTTTTTGATGGTCAAGGTGCAATGGCATGGAAACAAAACGAATGTTCCAAAACCTTCCAGTGCAAACTGCATTGCATGGTAAATTCTCAAAATTCAATGCATTTATGAAATATACAACTTATTCACTTTTCTATTCTTTTCATCAGAATTTTGGTTTCAACTTCATCAATAATTCGGTAGTTGGTGGAATTACTAGCAAGGATAGCAAACACTTTCATGTCAACCTTTTGGGGTGCAGAAATTTCACATTTGATGGGTTCATAGTCAGTGCTCCAGGTGACAGTGCCAACACAGATGGCATCCACGTTGGAAGATCCACTGGTGTGACTATTCGTAATACAAAAATTGGCACTGGAGATGATTGTGTCTCACTTGGTGATGGTAGCAGACAGGTAACTATTGAAAATGTGGAATGTGGTCCTGGTCATGGTATTAGTATTGGTAGCCTTGGGAAGTACAAAGAAGAAGAACCTGTTGAAGGTGTTGTAGTTAAGGGTTGCACTTTGAGAGGAACTACCAATGGAGTGAGGATAAAGACTTGGCCTAGTGAGCCAGGAACCATTACAGTTACTGATATGAGATTTGAAAATATTACCATGGAAAATGTTAGTAACCCTATCATCATAGACCAAGAGTATTGCCCATGGAACCAATGCTCCAAACAGGTAGTTAATTCTTTTCTATTATTGTACATGTTTATGATGTTATTTTTGTATCAAAATACTTCATATATATAGTAAGGATATTTGAAAGTCCTTCTTATCCCATTTGTTGTTGTTCTGATGACATAGACTCCATCAAAAGTCAAGATAAGCAAAGTTGTGATCAAGAACATTAAGGGAACTTCAGCAACCAAAGAAGGAATGATTCTTGTCTGCAGCAGGGGTGTACCATGTGAGGCTGTAGAGATATCCAATATTGATCTCACATTCAATGGAACTCCCACATTAGCTAAATGTGCTAATGTTAAGCCAATAATATTGGGGAATGCTCCTCTCTGCGTTCTTTAGAATGACAAAAAGTAGTAATGAAGTTTTGTTTAAACTATTTCTATGTACTTTAATTTTTTTCTTTTGAGGAGTAAGAAAGTTACGTGGTCAAATGAGGAGAATAATGTAATTTTATAACTGTAATTCTAATTCTTATTGAATTAAAATAATTTTGTAATTCTTATTGAATAAAATACTTAGAAAATTTCTTCCTATACCATTGAATGGGGACAAATGACCTAAACTTATAATCAAAACCTCTAAATAATAAAATGACAATATAGGTTTAGGATACACATAAAGTGATGGAGCATTAACTAATAAAATAAATTAGTTTTTATTCTATGATTACCAGTATGTATTAGAATTAATTTAATTAATTCATTCCATTATATGACTCATATGAAATATAATGATGGGTCCAAATGTGATTTAATAAAATATGAGAACTTATTGGTTATTATGTGAAGTTAGAATAAAATAAAGATAAAATAAAATATTAACTTAGGGTAACCAACTTGATAGATGTTGGTTAATAAAATGGATTAGGGTTTTGTCTCTGGTCATAAGATTTTTTCATGGTAAACCATCAAGAAAGCTTGAGAAGAGAAAGAAAGACAAAGAGATAGATTGAGAAAAGGAGATTGGAGAACGAAAAGATTAAAGAATAGATTCTCATGGATCAATGTTAGTCTTCTTACTATGATTCATGTATTGATGTATGTTATATTGTGAAAATAAATAATCTAAAGACAGTAATTTTCCATAATGAATTAAGAACGTAGGAAAACTACATAATATATTTTACATATGATATCAGAGCACTGATTATTAGATTTATGAATTTCCTTTTATGAAAGTATTTCTCAAATTATGTTTTTCCCAAATTAAGATAAACCCTAATTATGAATTTAGGGATTTCTCTATCAGATTAGTATGAACCCTAATTTATTCCCAAATTTATTTTTCTCAAAATTAAATAAAGGAATAAACCCTAATTATGTTTTCAAGTTCAAATTGAAACCAATTTTATAACCCCTATTCGTAAATGACCCCGTAATTGATTTTAATTGAAAAGACAAATGATGTGATAGGATTAGGGTGAATCATGTATGAAATTAGTTTCATTGTATGTTATAATTATGATGAGATGTTTTGATGGGATGTTATAATTATAATAAGATGTTATGATGAGATGTCATAATTATGATGAGATGTTATAATTATGATGAAATAAAGGTAAACGATAAAGTTGATATGACTGTGCTTGCATAGCACATTTGCATGTTCCTTTTTATTATGCAAGATTATTATATGTTCTGCGAGATTTTTTTTGGTAGTGAATAATTAGTTGTTATGTTATATCTACATATTATTTTGTCCACCTATAATACATGTAATAACTGCTGATAATGCACTGTCATGAGATGTGATCAGTTTTACTTTACGTGGTACGTATAAATAAATGAATGGTTGTCAATGTTATGGGATGTACCCATATATAAATGCCTTAATTGCAAATTTTGTTTTGCAAATTGAATTATTTCCGCTATAAGTTGCGCATAAAAGTTTTGAATTGACAATTTCAATAAAATTAAGGTCTTAGGATTGAAAATTAATCCTATAATGGAAATTGAAATTATGGGTTTCAATTTTATTTATGACATATAATAATTTATTATGTGAATAATTTACATATTTATTAAAATTAATAATAATAAAAAAATGCTATGAATCTTTAATAACAATTAAAGATATTATTTATTTGAAATTAAGTAGGATAAATTTTGTTAGTCACCAAAGTGGCAAAATTTTAAGGTTATTTTGATTTCAAATTATTAATGATTTTATTTTAATTACCCATAATATGAACGCTAAAATTATGAATAATTAATTTATGGGTTAATTGAAGTTCATTATTATAAGGGATTCCAGGATCACCCAAAGGTTGATTAATTGTTATTATAATTAATGAGCATAAAGGTAGATAATTTTATGTGCATCACTAGTTTTATTTATATACCCAAAAGGTGTTAGATGATTCTAGTTTATGCATATTTTAATTATCATTAATGTTATAAAATGATTAGCGTAATTATGTTTGTGTATTGGTGGATCTCCTAAAGGAGAACATTAGTATGCAGTGAATGGTAATTTATGGTTGAATTTGTATTTATGTTTAATTTTATGACTCAAAGTATTAATGTTAGGCATCTATTAATTGCAGTAGTTGTTCCTGTAGCTCTGCATTCGCTATCTTCGTCTGTTCCAGTCTTTAATGGGTTAAATTTCCCTGACTGGAGTGAACAATTCCAATTTCACTTAAGTGTGTTGGATCTTGATTAGGCTTTCCAAGTTAAAAAAACCGGTTGTTATCACTGATGCTAGTAGTAATGAAGAGAAAACTCATTATAGATCTTGAGAAAGATCAAACAGACTTAGCCTTATGTTTATGCGAATGAGTATAGCAAGTAATATTAAATCTGCTCTTCCCAAAACTGAGGATGCGAAAGAGTTTATGAAATTTGTGGAAGAGCGCTCTCAAACTGCTGACAAATCCCTCGCTGGGACATTGATGAGTACGTTGACCACCATGAAGTTTGATGGTTCTCGTAGTATGCATGAACACGTAATCGAAATGACAAATATCGCAGCAAGACTCAAGTCTCTTGGAATGGTAGTGGAAGACAATTTTCTTGTGCAGTTCATTTTGAACTCGTTATCGCCTGAGTATGGTCTGTTCCAGATGAACTATAACACCATAAAAGACAAATGGAATGTGCATGAATTGCACAGTATGTTAGTCCAGGAGGAGACCAGACTCAAGAACTTAGGAAGCCACTCTATTCATTACGTGAAAAATCAAGGAGCTAAAAATAAAGTTGTAAAGAAACATGGAAATGGTAAAGATCATTAAAGATTAACGAGTCATCTACTAACATTCAGAAGAAAAATGACAAATGTCATTTCTGTGGGAAGTCTGGACATTTCCAAAAGGACTGCATAAAACTTAAAGCTTAGTTTGAAAAGAAAGGTGAGCATAGTGCTTACGTATGTTTTGAATCAAACTTAACTGAAGTTCCCCATAATACTTGGTGGATTGATTCTGGATGTACAACTCATGTTTCTAATGTGATGCAAGGATTCCTTTCAACCCGAACCATAAACCCAAATGAGAAGTTCGTCTTCATGAGGAATAAAGTCAAGGTTCTAGTGGAAGCTGTCGGGACTTATCGTTTAATCCTTGACACTGGATATCACTTAGACCTTATGGATACTTTTTATGTACCTAGTATCACTAGAAATTTAGTTTCTTTGTCTAAACTTGATGTTACTGGATACTCTTTTAAGTTTGGGAATGATTGTTTCAGTTTATTTAAGCGTACTTGTATGATTGGAACTGGTATACTTTATGATGGTTTATATAAATTGAATTTGGATAATTTATATACTGAAACTCTCATGACCTTGCATCATAATGTTGGCACTAAACGTAGTTTGGTGGATGAAAAATCTGCTTACTTGTAGCATAAGCGTTTGGGACATATTTCCAAAGAAATAATGCAAAGATTAATAAAGAATGAAATCCTTCCGGATTTAGATTTTACTGATATGAATATATGTGTGGATTGTATTAAAGGCAAACAAACAAAACATACAAAGAAAGGAGCCACAAGAAGCACTCAACTTCTTGAAATCATACACACCTATATATGTGGTCCATTTGACGTAAATTCTTTTAATAAAGAGAAGTATTTCATCACTTTCATTGACGATTTCTCGCGTTATGGATATGTCTATTTACTATATGAGAAATATCAAGCAGTAAATGCCTTAGAAAGTTATATAAATGAAGTGGAGAGACAATTAGACAGAAAGGTGAAAATTGTCAGGTCAGATAGAGGTGGTGAGTATTATAGAAGATATGATGAAAGTGGACAACACCATGGTCTGTTTGCTAAGTTCCTTGAGAAGCGTGGTATTTGTGTTCAATATACAATGCCAGGCACACCACATCAAAATGATGTGTCTGAAAGGCGTAATCGAACCTTAATGGATATGGTTAGGAGTATGTTAAGTAATTCATGTTTACCTGTATCGTTGTGGATGTATGCTTTGAAGGCTGCCATGTATTTGTTGAACAGGGTTCCTAGTAAAGTGGTTCAAAAGACTCCTTTTGAGTTATGGACAAGTAGGAAACCCAGTATGAGACACCTACATGTTTGGGGTTGTCAAGCAGAAGTAAGAATTTATAATCCGCAAGAAAAGAAACTGGATGCAAGAACAATCAATGGATATTTCATTGGTTATCCAAAAAAATCAAAAGGGTATATATTTTACTGTCCTACCCATAGTACAAGAATTGTTGAAACTGGAAATGCTCGGTTCATTGAAAATGGTGAAACCAGTGGGAGTGAAGCTTCACGAAATGTGGAGATTAAGGAAGTTAGAGTACAAGTCCCTGTAATTAGCACATCTTCTTCAAGAATTGTTGTTTCACATGTTGTAGAACCACACGACAATAAAAAAGAACAACAAATTAATGATCCTGAGATTAACAATGAACCGATAATAGAACAACCACAAGAAATAATATTAAGAAGATCTCAGAGAAAGAAAGTCTGCTATTTTGAATGATTACGTGGTTTATCTACAACAGTCAGAAAATGACCTAAGTATTGATAGTGACCCAGTTTCATTTTCAGACGCCATTAATAGTGATAATTCTGACAAATGGTTAAATGCTATGAAAGATGAGTTTGAATCAATGACACATAATGGTGTATGAGATCTTGTGGAATTGCCAGAAGGATGCAAGAGTGTTGGGTGTAAATGGGTCTTTAAGACTAAGCGTGACTCTCATGGCAATATCAAATGTTACAAAGTTCGTCTTGTTGCCAAAGGTTTTACTCAGAAAGATGACATTGATTATAAGGAAACATTTTTAATTGTTTCTAAGAAAGATTCTTTTAGAATTATCATGGCATTAGTAGCTCATTATGATCTTGAGTTGCATCAAA